TTCAGGGACAACTTCCCAGGCTGATTTCTCACGCACATATTAGTAATTTATTTGTTTTGACCATTTCTAAGGCTCTAAGAAAGGAGGATCGACATTTATCAAAATATTCCTCTCTCCACCTCTTTTTTTTCACAGGAGAATTGATGTTTCTCCCAGTGCTTTTAAGAGGCACTCTCTTCTGTTTGATGAGATGAAAAGCTCCAAGGAAAACAGCTTCAAGGTGACCGAACATTTTGAAATATGACGTATTTTGGAAAAGAATGCTGCTCGAGTGATCCAGCCAGAGCATTCTTAGGCTTCCTTCTCACTCTAAACTCTGTTTCTGATGAGAGATGCATAAAAGTCCAAATGTGAGATGCAAAAAGAGGTGCATTCAGGTTGTTGTGTTGTAAATGCCCCCTCAACGTTTGATGGTAACCTTTTACTATGGGTACAAGCCTTCCTAAGAGGCAAGAAATCAGGGGTCAGAAATGGAAGTGACCAGTTGTTCCCATGTCAAATCCATTCAAAGGACTCTAAGCAAAAGTCATAGTAAGTATTCCTCTTCAAAGCCTGCAAAGAACAAGTGAGGTGTTTAGGCCAAGTAAAAACAACATACTTTCATGAGCACCAATGAAAGTATATCTGCTGTGGTCCTGTAATGTTGCCTCCTGTACTATTTTGTTTTGTTAAATGTCTTTTTTTTTATTTTGGTGAGCAAGTAAGAGGAAATCCAAGTGTTACCTTTGCGGCCTGTTGCCATTTCTGAGAAATACTGTTTAATTAGCCTGTTGAAAGACTGTGTGAAGCCAAAATGCCACTTAAAATGATATTAGAAAAGGTCTCTTCCTCTCATCCATTTGCATGGTTGTTTTAATTCAGCTGTTGCCATGTTTTTCTTTTTGGTCCCGCCCCATGCAATGCTACATGAAGCTGGAACGCTGCTAGCCCTCATCTGGCCAAAATATCTCTTTCTCCTCACCACAGGTCGATGGTAAAAAATCTAAAGGTGATTCAGTGGACCTTCGGCTGGATATTGAGCGCAAGAAGAAATACTTGAGTGGGGAGAGAGAGCACAGAGAGGAAGAGTATGGAGGAAGAGTATCGAGGGAATCTCCAGGTTCAAGCAAGGAAATATCCACTGAGAAAAACTCAAAGAACCACAAAAAACCGAAGTAAGCTGCTGTATAGGCATGTGAGAGTGAGAAATAAAGAGGTTCTGCTATGAGTTGTTCAGTTATGGAAAACAGAATTAAGAGAGACTTAAACGGTTGAAGCTGCTGCCATTTTGGTGACAAAAATAATAAGCTGACAGTTGTATTTTTGTTTGGGTTTGTTGTGACCTCTCAAGTGAAAAAAATCCTGCCTTGGTGATAATGACTTCTCTAAATGTAGTATTTTGATCAACCAATAAACAATTAGCAATTTCAGATCAAATTTTACTTGCCTCAACATTAAAAGAATGGTTGAGTCAAGTAAAGATTAAGCAAGATGAAACCGTCAAGAAGTCCATCTTGAGCCTCTCAAGAGGCCTTAAAAACATTTATAAAAAGGCCTGAAGATGCGTTCACACTCACAGCAGTCTGCAGCGACAAGAAATGAGAGTTGGTGATGTGAGGCAACATAAATGACAGAAATTGTTGGCAGTGCGAATGTTGAGCAGAGTTGAATTTTATGCAAATGAGCTGCAATACGATGCAGCGACTTCCAATGGGAGTGGAGCTTACGTGATTTTAACCTCCTGATACCGTCAAGTTTGAATGCCTGCTTGTGCCCAATAGGACAGCCACTTGGTCACCTTCAGCTATTAAATCACTGTCAGTGTGAATGCACCTTTTTGCCTTTCTGGTCAGCTGTATATATGGAATATGTTGGATAAAGGCTGTCAAGTGTTTAAAAAATGTCCTGATTTCCTTCTGGTAAAGATTAATTTATAGTTGGTGGAGAAGCAAATGACCTGATAAAGTCATCTTGCGCATGTTGAAGAACAATAAAAGTTGTTACCTTCGATCCAGTTGATTTTTTAATTTTTAAGACCTGTTAACATTCATGAACAATGTCTGAATCTAATGTTATTTAATTCCTAAGGAAAAACAAGAAGAAACGTGAGCATTCTGAGTCATCTTCCTCATCTTCCTCATCTTCCTTTGTTTACCACGAAGAAGACGCTGAGATCAAGGCAGAAGGTTTCTCCAAAATACAACAGGGGCTTAGAGAGTATGGAGAGCCTGCAGAAAGAGGACGGGCACGAGGAGGCTTTGTAAGTTTTGAGTGTATGGAATAACTAAGATGTTTGTTTATTGCTGTGGTACTTAAGGTTGCCATTTGCTGTTTCTCAGCAGCTTAGAATGCGCGGCAGAAGTTGGAACCGAGGACATTTCCATGGAAGCAGTAATGGTGATTCACAGATGAACATGTCAGCAAAGAATGACGACTGGGATCAAGAATACACTCCCAAGAACAAGAAATACTTCCTAGTATGTTGTGATCTTTGTAACACCCATTCTGCTTTCCCTTTCTATTGGAGTTTCTAATGGAGAAAATAGTCCCACCTACAACTATATGTTATATAATTGCATCAAGAAGATTCTCGGCAAGTCTGTATTTTTTGTCTTTGCAGCACAGTGAAAGAGATGGTGAAGCTGAGAAGAAGATGATGGACACACGAGGACGTGGTCGCGGTAATGCTCTTCGCGCAAAGGGACGTTTCATCCTCCGGAGGGCCACAAATACCAACACCATCAATAATACAAGCCCTAAATGGGCCCATGATAAATTCCAGACCACTGATGATGATGAGGGCGAACAGCAAGGAGAAGATGTAGAACAGGACCAGTGAGAACAGAGCAGTAACGATGTTAAGATCCCTCATCATGCTTTAAACCCTGGGATAAGACTTGTCAGCCTTCACACTTTCAAGAATGGATATAATATTCACATCCATATGCATCTAAAACTTTTTCATAGGGAAGAGGCTTTTTTATTGTATTGCTTTGATTTCCTATTTTCGTGAGGATGCTTTTTGTCAGCTTGGTCGTGTTTTGTGCTTTCTGTGTATCTTTTTTTTTTTTTTGTACATGCAAACTCTCAAAGGTTCATAGAAAAATACATATGGAGTTTAAGCAAAGTTATTTAGAGGAGCACATTCATCTAATCATGGCAGACACTGTTAAAGGCAACTTCAAATTTATTTTCTATCCTTAAATCTCTGGAAGAATTAGCACTCCATCTCGAAATCGAGTGCCTCCATTGTGAATCCGGTCTCGTTTTTTGCACAAGACTATTAAAACATGCAAACGAAACAAACGCAGAACAAAAAGTTAATATCTAAGTAGTGAAAGACTGATTGGATAAGGCAGGCCAATTGATCAGCTGATATTTGTCCAGTCATTAACTGATTAAAGGAAGTGTTTATCTCCCCACTTTTTTAGTTTACAATTTTACTGATAGCTTTGTCTATGGATAGTAAGACATTTTATTTTTTTATTTGTGTGTGAATTTTGATTGTTGTGTAATATACAGTACAATTCAACATAATACGACACATATGTAGCTTATTGGCCACCCTGCTTTATAGATGTTGATATCAGGCATCAAAAAGCCCATTTTATTTGACCACTAGTTCAATGGTTAGGTGCCGTTGATACACCATAGTGCCTGAAGTGTAGAATACCAGTATAGAACTATGGCTGGTTATGTACTCATTATTGCTGTTGAAAAAAAAATAGATGTACATATTAATGTTTTGTGGACTTAATTGAAACTCTTTGAGACCCTTGTGTGTCTACCTATAGAAAGGAAGATCATGACTTAATAACTTGTATGAATGACCCAGTCTCGCTATGGGACCAAACTACAGCAGGTAGACATTCATGTCCCAGTCACTGACATGTGGGGGAAAAAGATTTACATTCATCCAACTGCTAGTCAAAGATGCCAACTTTGAAACTGGACAAACAGCCTACAGATAAAGTTAAATGTACATGCACATACAAATGTTTTAAAGACAATTTTTGATTTATTGGGGTGCAAGTTTTTGACAATATGTGTGTGTATCCTGTTTTATTATGGTTTTTCTAATGTGTGTCTTGTGTCTTCAAATTGTATGCCTTTTTCTATTGGCTAAGCACCTTTATTTTTGTTTTTGAAGAGTTAAAGTATAAAGAATATGCTGGGGGGAAAGTGAACAATTTTCATTCATACTCAAAATTGGATTTTAGCTGTCTGGGTTCTGATTTGCACTGTCTGATACATTTGGACTTTTTGACATTTTTGACTTGCATTTATATACTCACAATCAGAAAGAAATAAAAATGCAGCAATTTTACATCTGACTGAAGTAGGTTTTTTTTTTGGTAAATTATCATATTGTGAATTAAGCCTATTTTAATGGTCTCTTAACAATGCTTTATTATTTCTGTGTAAATTGACCCGACATGCTCTAAATAAAAGCATTACAGTCTCAGTACAATCATATCTCTGCTATCTGTTCAATAAAAGTTAAGCTGGCATAGACTGAAAGAACTAATATCAACACACTCATATTTAACAATCAGCTCCCTTGTTCAGCAGTAAGGGCACTGATCAGGGAGTCGGCCATTTTAAGGGCTGTCTCAATCGCGAAATCCTTCCAGTGCACTGGAACGTTCGCTCCCTGAAAAATCCCACAATGCACTGCAAAAACTAGGGCAATAACGTCACATTTCTGAAGCGCGAAACATAAACCAGACGAGCCAACTCGATAAATATAATGACTCGATAGAAGATTTGAAAAGACAAACCGTTTTTTAGTATATTTCAACATAAACACACATCGCTAGACAGGAATTGAACACATCTAATTAACATTTATAATTATTATTCGGCTGAATGTTGTAAGAACTTGAACCAGAACGATGTGTTTAAAGAGACTAAAAAATAAATATCAAAAAGAGATCGGTCCTGTCTGTTGTTTATTAATTCCAGTGATGACGTTCTACTATGTTGTCCGTTGACGTTGTACGTAATCATGTCACTGGAATTCGAGTGATCACTGTCCCAACGTGCAGTGAGTCAGGGAACTTACCAGTGCCCGAATTCGTGTACACGATCTACTGATTCACGAGCTAGGGAGCTGATTGAGACGCACCCTAAGATTACGCTCCTATTAAATCAAGGTTATTTAAACATCAGGGTTTTCCTTGAATTCCTTTCAAGTGAGTACACATGCAGTATTGTCAGTCATTTTTGCTGTGGCGCGTGACACCAGAAGGCTCATACCAACACAAACCTGTCTCACCTGTTACACACTTATCTCTCCTTCTCAGGGTATAACGTGTCTTGACTAGCTGAGAATTTTTTTTTTACCAACAATGCTAATGTTTGACTAGAAAGAAGGAGGTCCAACAAAGCTTTTGCTGTCTCTGGATTGTGTAATGCCACTAAATCAAGCAGGGATTCCATGACACTTTGAGAACTGAACAGAATCTTCATTGTCAGACTTGGTGCTCTAAACACAGCTTTCAAGGGGCCATGGGTGAGTTTTTAAACTTTGTTTCAAAAAGGTTGTTATGATTTGGCAAGCTGTGGTATTTGTGGTACTTGGGTTATGTATAGATATATTTATTTATTTTTATTGCCATTCCAACACCTATGGCTTTTTAATGGAAAGATCAATGTATTTTAGAAGAAGCATATATAGTGATTATGTATATATATGGTAGCCAGTGTTCATGTGAATTGTAGTATAATGAGTGTAACATAATTTTGATTAGTAAGCAATAAACGACAAGTGACAGGTTACACCTGTATCATATTTTTGATTTAATATTATTACTAACAATTATCCATAACTGAATGTATTTATTTATTTACTGATTTACTCAGTGTGACGTATTTGGTCAAGAAACTTGAGCTGACAGTTTATGACACCAACATCATTATAATGCTGCTTTCTTTTTAGCTCACCTGATCATAAACTACCTGTAATTAAGGCTTAACATTTAGACTGATAAAACACAAGAGTTTCTTGCCGGAAATCAGATAAAATGCCACTGTGAATCATGCAAACTGATCTTTGTACTGCTATGCGTTCTTGAGTTCAAATCACTCAGGTTCAACTCGCATACCTGTAAGCCTGTTGAAACGCATTGCTCATGGCTATCCAGCTCCAGGATTGCACTTTAGAGTCACATAAATCCTATCACTTCAATCTCTTTGGCATGTTTTTTCATGTCTTTCACATAATTAGATGCATTTGTCTGTAGGGTAAGTATTTCATAAAAGATAAGGCTGATTGAGAAAGTGCAACTGACTCACACCATGTCTACACCGGACGCGACAGTTGTCGTGTCGCGCCGCAACTGCTAAAGTCTGTCTACACTGGACGCGACAAACATCATAGCTGGCCCAAATGAAATCTGCATTTATTTGAGTGAAAAATCTGTAGAATGGCTATGTTAAAATTTATTTTAGATACTTATAAGTAGCTGAAAACATAATTTACAAGCCAAAATATTACATATTTCATAAAACACTCCAGTTTACTAACCACCAATGGCTTCACCTCTCTTCTGTCCCTTTTAGAGGTGCTTGTGCTTCTGGACTTTGAGGCGACAATGTCAGATGAGTTGACGGTGCATGTGGGAGATGTGGTGAAGAACGTCTCAAAGGGTAAAGAGGAAGGGTGGCTGGAAGGAGAGCTGAGAGGAAAGAGAGGCATGTTTCCTAGCAACTTTGCCAAGGTCTGCACCTGTTAGAGCACTCTTTCCATAGCTTTCCTAGTAGCCATAATGGTCATTTTCAAAATGGCTATTCTCTCCTTACAGGAAGTGCCTGTTTACTTAATAGGGGACAGCAACAGAGAGCCAAGAAGCATGAGGAAATGTAAGTTTTTTGGCGTATTGATTACCATTTGTATAGCCAACCGTTCTAAAGTTTTCTATACAGCAAGAATGCATTAAATTTATGAAATTTATAATGTTACATATTTATTATTTTTTTAGCTAAGTGCTGCTCTTTTGAACTTTCTATTCATCAAAGAATTACGGTTTCTAGGGATGGGCGGATCGATCCTTAAGTATCGATACTTTCGATACTGATGTTGTATCGAAAGGATCGATCCTCACATAAAAATATCGATTCTGAAGTGCATTTTTTAACTATTAATTTTATTTATTTATCAAGAAATTCGGTGCATAAAACAAGCTTCTAAATGGAAAAATAGACTATAATAGCGAATAATTGTGTAGGATAGAACCATTTCTCCTGCTCATCGGAACACCCGCAAATGCTGAAAGACAGAACCAATCAATCACAGACAGTGTTCGCTGCTGACGCATGGCTCACAGTGCTTGTTCAAATAGGGCTGCGTTTCCCAAAAGCATCAGAAGCATAAGTAGATCTATAGAAACCATTGCCACATTATTACATTGTTACTATATATCAAATTAATTCTGAAAAATGCATCACGGTTTCCACACAAATATGAAGCAGCAATAATAATAAATGTTTCTTGAGCAGCAAATGATATTATAATTATTTCTGAAGGATAATGTGACACTGAAGACTGGAGTAATGAT